ATACAAGAATGTACATAAGGAATGTGAGGATACAATTATGGTAATTACAGTCTTGTAAAGCCACTAGCACGCGCAGCGTTTCGGGCAGGTCCTTAATCTAAGATCGTATTTGTGTGTACGTCTGATACCATACTACTTGTGAAGGAGGAAATGTATATGTTTACCTCTCAGAATGTTTGGTAATATGTTTATTTGTGATGTGTGTCTATGTATATATTAACACGTTGTACTGAATGGGGTGAGAATAGCTTGAGCTACCTCATCCCTTTGTGTGTATTTTACCTCAATAAACTTATTTCAATTTCAATTTCAATGTGTAGATAAACATTCTGGATAATTCTTACAACAAACCTAGTTTGTTACACCCCTATGGATACCGCCTAGGGGCAAGAAAACCACCGAATGCCTGGCCACGTGGGGGCGACGCCTGCAGATGGGGTGACGCCAGCCTACGTACGTGAAGGAGCCTCACACGTGCACGCCCCATCACGCACGCCCGGGCGCGGCACGAAAGGCGGAAAACCGCGCCCAAAAACCCGCAAGACTAGCGCCCAAGAAGAGGGCAAATAGACCTGGGAAGGAAGCTAGCTAGGGCGGCGCAACACGCACCACAAGGAACACGACGCTGTTCACACGCCTGACATTGGGAACATCGCTAACTAAAACGTGGTGGGGAAAACATGGATACGACTGTACCTTAGGATTTGTTGAGATGGGCAGGCCACAGCTGGCGGGTCGCACTGAGACGTTGATGGGCCCACGACGACAATGTCGAACAGGGTGAGGTCTGGGACCGAGGCAGCTGGCGTAAGATCCATTAGGTTTGAGAACACAGTTAAACAGACTAAACAGAAGGTACCGTCGGCTGGTCCACGCAGTGCATATGTGCATTTCGTTGCGAAGTAGGCCGTGGCTACAGCATAAGTGGGGGAGGGGACTCTCCTTCCAGTCCCTTAAATACACCACCCATACTGCGCGTGCCATTCCAGAGACGGCACTGTTCCTGTGCCAGGTAAGTTCACTACGGGCTCACCATAGCCCGTGCAACTTGCCCCGCTACTGTGCCAGGTAAGTGATCAGCTCACCATAGCCCGGGCTACTTGGAACTCGTTCCGAGTAGCTGAATCTATAACAACACAACACAACTGCGCGCGCAGCGTCAATGTCTTTTCTCCTCTTTCAGAAATTCCCCCGCTTTCGGGGAAAGCGGTGCCCATATTTGATATCCCCAGAGTCAAACTAAATCTGTGTAAACACTCTATGCAAATAAAAGGACCATTTATGAATCTCACCCCTAACGAATTGAAAAGCTGTCTACCCTTTGCCTTATTCACAAATAAAACCAAATAGTATCTAATTTCATCTTCATAGGAGTGTAACAAGAGACTTTGAACTAGGTACCCCGCAGGGTGGTGTCCTCAGTCCTACCTTATTTAATATCTTAATAAACACGCTGTTAAACTCTATACCGAGCAAACCCAACGTCCACATCATTAGTTATGCTGATGATATAATGATACACACCACTGTGTATGCTAACACGCAGAACACTCTTAACTCTGTATTAGACTCATGTCAGGACCTAAGTTTAATTAACTCAGCAGAGAAAACAAAGATACTAAATCGGCGCCCACCCAGGCAGGGAGGAGCTGTTGGCAAGATGCAACTGTCTAATGGCTCCCAGCTTGACTATGTAAACAGATTCAAATACCTTGGCCTTGAGGTGCCACTGTATGGTCCTGTTGTATTCAGACTCTGTCGTCAGTATAAAGAGAGGCTCCGAGCTCTCGAGGCTGTTGCAGGTTATCACTCAGGCTATGGTGCCAATGTCAGATTTGCCAAAATGATGTCCCTTGCATACATCAGATCTTTAGTGGATTATGCTGCACCTCTGCTTGTTTTGATGCCTGAAAGAAAACTTGGAGGGCTTGAAAAATTGCAGAACGAAGCCTTGAGGATAATCCTTGGGTGCCCTCGTACCACAAAGATACTTAATATGAGAAAGGAACTTAATATTCTGAGCGTTGTTGATCGTGTTACTGAAATTAACTGTCAAATTGGTATAAAAATGCTTAGGCTAACTCATCCTAATCCTTGCACAGAAGCCCTCCAGAATTTCTTTATTGAAGATCAGCATTGTTCTAAATGGATAACAAAAACTGGAACTCAACTCAGAATGTATCAGGTTCATGATTTGTACCAAGAGAAACAACAACGGCACTTTCCTGCATCGTGGGAGGTTACACCCTTTCCAGTTTTAATTGCTCCCTTTCCACCCAAGAAGCAAATTAGAGATCAGCCCAAGCTTCGTCTTGAGGCAAAACTCAACGCCTTAAGCCATATTGATGCTCTGTCCACAGAGCATTCTCTCTCTCAAATCATATACACTGATGGTTCCCTACACCGCACCACGGGTGCAGCTGGAAGTGCAGTTGTCCTGACAATGGGCGATGGCTTGTACTTTGAGTGGGGGAGTCCGTATAAACAATTGGGCCTCTACCCTTCAGACCGAACTATTTGCCTTGATCCTTGCACTGAAATGTGTACAAGTCTCCAAACTTGAAACATTAATTGTAAGTGACTCCTTATAAATCCTTAAATGCTCTCAACTCTTTAAGACATAACTGTAACATGCTTGTGTTCGAAGCTAGACACAAATACAACAAAATTATTAAGGATGGTAACAGAGTCCATTTCATGTGGTCTCCATCTCATGTTGGCCTCCGAATGCATGACAGAGCTGATAAGTTAGCCAAAGAATCTGCCTTTAAAGGAGCCGTTGAGTGTAACCTTGGATTGTCAATGAGCAATCTGAGAGCAGCAGTACACCGAGAACTTCAACAAGTCTTGTAGATCTGAGACAAAGTGAAATTGACACCAGTAATTCCATCTATCATCATACTCATGCAAGAGGAGCCACACACCTATGGATCATCCAATAAAATCAGCAGACTTCTAGATTCAGATTCAGATTCAGATTCAGATTCAGATGTTTATTCAGGTAAGGTATATACATACAAGTGATGTTACATTAATGGATTGATATATAGATAGATCTAGTACATACAATGCCTAAAGCCACTATTACGCAATGCGTTTCGGGCAAGAAAACATTAATATCTAGAACTTAATACTAATTGAGCATAAAGAATAAAAGATGTTGAGAACAAATACAAATAAAGATAAAAAAAAGGGGGAAACATGACTGAACAAGCAGCACAAATACAATAGGTTGTTGCAACGGGTGGCACCTGTCCTCTTAAAAAGAACGTCGCTTTTGGCCGTTTGCCCGTATGGCCGAATTTGGACGTAATTTGAAAATGAAAAAAAAATTAAAATAAATTTGGGATTTCTTTTTTCAACAACAGTAAGTTAAGGGTCCTCTGATAGGTTAGGTGGGCAGGAAATTCTCATAAAGTTTCAAAACGTTATGAAAAACGTGAATTTAAAGTGTCCTCTTATAACCTCTGCGCGTAAGGCGGACGACTCAAATAGAAAACGGAACAGAACGTCACTTTTGTGAGTCGATTTCATTTCAAATTACGTCCAAATTTAGCCATATCGCGCATACCAGCCAAAAGTGACGTTCTTTTTAAGAGGACGGGTTGGACAAACAGTGTTGATTAAAAAAGAAAAAAAAAAAAAAAAAAAAGAAAATAACAGACATGGGTTGACAATAGAGGAGTGAGGTAGATTACAGGGAATTTATTAGGTAGCGTTTAGTTTTTATCTTAAACTGGTTGAGAGAGGTACAGTCTTTAACATGGTTGGGAAGGTCATTCCACATTCTGGGCCCCTTGATTTGCAGAGCATTTCTAGTTTGATTAAGACGTACTCTAGGAATATCAAAACTGTATTTATTTCTGGTGTGGTGCTCATGGGTTCTGTTACAACCTACTATGAAGCTTTTAAGATCAGGATTGGCATTATAGTTTAGCGTTTTATATATGTATAATACACATGAGAGAATGTGCAGAGACTTAATATCTAACATATTAAGAGATTTGAGTAGGGGTACCGAGTGATGTCTGGGGCCAGAGTTGGATATTGTTCTAATAGCTGTTCTAATAGATGTTACTACTGCTCGGCTTAGACTCGGTTACAAGTATCTCTGGGAATTCTCATTATCTGCCGATGTAGACCTGACCAAATGTAAACTGTGTCAACAAAATTATTCGCACACCCTCCGTCACTATGTGATGGAGTGCGAAAAGATATGTGAATTTAGAGGCAATTCTATAACGAATGTTCCAGCGATGTGTAAATATTTCATTCAAAATGATCTGCTACCAGGAATTTTAGCCAAATATCCCCAGTTTGCTAACTGTAGGTAGTAACTAAGTGATTGTAACCTATCCACCGCTGCCCACTGGATGGGGGGCGGTGTGCAGGACAAACATATAAATTTTGACACTAGCTCTCCACATATGTCAGTTGCTTAATTTAGAACCTGTACTTGAGGTCGATCTCGAACCCATTGTTGATGTGACGACTTATATTGAATTTTGTAACTAGCTCATCAAGATTGTAACTTGCTTAGCTAAATGAATTGTGGGGTTCAGTCCCTGAGCCCGTTATGTGTCTCTGTAACCCTTTCCACTACCGCCCACAAGATGGGTATGGGGTTCATAATAAATGAACTAAACTAACTAAACTAAGCCCGAAACGCTATGCTAGTGGCTTTACAAGAATGTAAAAAATCAATGCTATGTACTCTCATAAACCCAATGTACCTACTTGTATATATATATAAATAATGAAATAAATAAATAAATTTTGAAATTTTAATTTAAGTGAAGTTCCCGCCTCGAGTTGAGTCAGCCAATGAGAATGTGCTGGCTTGTCTTGGCTGTGATTGGCGGGCGTCGCGCTTCGTTATGTTATATCTACAAAATCCCTAATAAGGTGTATCAGTGAATAATGCAATAAGTATATATATATTTTTTAAATATTTAAAAGTCATTATATTTTTTTAGATTTTTGTACTTAGGTAGTAAGGTCAGTAGTTGTGAAACTCGCGGAAAATCTCTTCAATATTTCAGAGGTTTGTTTCCAACGTCCGCTCTCTTACTGTTATTTGGAGAAGGACGATTGTTTTGTTATTGAACAAACACTGGCATCTCCAAGTACTCTGTGTAAGTATTGGTGCACACTTGGGTGTAATTATTAACTTGTCAATGTCTGGGAGGCGAGGGAAAAAGTGTAGGTTGTATTAGTAAGGTAGAGGAGTGTGGTGAAGGTTGCGTGGAGGGGCGAGAGGTGGTGGCGTCGGCCCCGAGTGGAGGAGAGCCGCGCCATCACCTCCAGCCTGGGCTGTCCCTGCCACCCCCACGCTCTCTCTGCCACCAACACGCTCTCCCTGCCATCACTATACATTTTTCCTACCACCACATTGTTCTTCCTGCCACCACTATGCTCACACAGCTATGGCCACATAATTTTCTCACCTCTATGCTGTACCTGCCACCACTATACTCTCTCTACCACCACCTCACACTTTATTCTGCCCTCTCCATGCCCTCCTTACCACTTCCCACGCTCCCCCTACCACAACCATGCTCTCCCTACCACCACCACTCCTTACCACCACAACACTCCCTGACACCTCCACACTCCATGCCACCACCACTCTACCATCAGCACCCCACTCCGTGCCACCACCGCCGCTTTTCGCCACTCTACTTGCTGGTAGTGCCACTCTCCGTTCTGCCACCGCCACTGTCGCCACACCACCACTCCGTGCTGCCACACCGCCATTCTCCGTGCCGCTACCAGCTCTCACAAGTTGAGCCTGGCCTTGGGTCAGGCTTGGGGAGTATAAGAACTCCCAGAACCCTATCAAGCAGGTATCAACCCGCCACACTGTAACTCTCAGGGTTGTGGCAGCATTGAGACATGACCACCGCCTACAAAATTCTCAGAGGAATTCAAGAGGGTGGACAAAGATAAACTATTTAGCATGGGTGGAACATGAACAAGGGGGGGGGGGGGTGCAGGACAGACTTTTTTAGACCAAAATTGGAATTTGCAGTAGTTTAAGGGTGATCATATCTCAAGAAGCACATAAATAAACTGGAAAAGGTGCAAAGGCATGCTACAAAATGGCTTCTTGAGCTGAAAAACAAGAGTTACGAGGAGAGACTAGAGGCGTTAAACATGCCAAAACTAGACGATAGAAGCAAAAAAAAGAGGCGATATAATCACCACTACAAAATTAATAACAGGAATCGACCAAATTGAGAGAGGAATTCCTGAAACCACCAACTTTAAGAACGAGAGGACCCAGCTTCAAGCTAAGGAAACAAAGGTGTCGAAAAAGTACTTAGTAGAAAGTTTTCTTTGCAAACAGATTGGTAGAAGGTTGGAACAAGTTAAACGAGATGGTGGTACCTACTATATTCAGTATGGTGGTGCAGGCCAAAACCATCAGTAGTTTCAAAGCGTTTCTGTGACAGAGTACTGGGAAGATGGGACACCTTGAGCATAGCTTTCATCCTGTAGTTACACTTGGGTAATTACAGGTGGAAACTTAGTAAAAAAAATTTCAGTGTCAGGGTAGTTAACGAATGGAATGCACTAGACAGTGATGTACTGGAGGCAATCTCCATTATGTGAAGGCTAAGTGGAGGCTTAGGGGCCTGAGCTGAGTGGACAACGCTTCAGATTCGTAGTTCCAAGGTTCTGGGTTCGATCCCCAATTGAGGCGGAAACAAATGGGCAGTTTCTTTCACCCTGATGCCCCTGTTACCTAGCAGTAAATAGGTACCTGAGAGTTAGACAGCTGCTACGGGCGGCTTCCTGAGGGTGTGTAACAAAAAGTAGACCTGGTCGAGGACCGGGCCGTAGGGACGCTAAGCCCCGAAATCATCTCAAGATAACCTTAAGATAACCTCCATACACAGATTTAAATGTAGATAATATAAGAGCCCAATAGGCTCAGGAACCTGTGCACCAGTTGATTGACAGTTGAGAGGCGGGACCAGATAATCAAAGCTCAACCCCTGCAAGCACAACTAGGCAAGTACAGGAGTTTGGGCTAGTAGCTGCTGCTGTCTGGCAACTGGGAAAGAAAATTACACTTCGTGTAATTGATCTAAATTTGTCAAAACTATCTACTTTGTTCTTGTTCATCATTATGATTGTTAAAGTAATTTTAAATATGAAAAGAACAAACTTTTTAACTTAAAAAATACTTAACATAAGGAATACATAAAAAAATATTTTGTAAAACTATGAACTGAATATTTATTTTACTAAAATAAAATTTTTTGACCATTTTGTAAATTTTTTGAAATTGTTGTTCTAGTTCTATGCATTGGAAATACGTTCGTTATTTTACTGAATTAATTGTACCAGAATGTCTATTATAGCTGTTCAGTGATACAAAATAATGTTTTGTGTAGTTTGTTTTACTATTTGTTTTTAGAATGTATGAAAAAGAACACACTGTGGTGTACAGAAATATTGTGTTTGGAACAGTTAGGGTATTGAATTAATTGGACCATATTTTCTATTGTGAAATAAGCTCAAAAACATCTTGTATTTAGTTAATTTTTTAATTGAATTTACTTTTTAATGGTATCACTAGAAAGGGTAGGTAATTTTCATACAATATGCAACAGACATACTGTATCTATATAAATAAAAATGTAAATGTTCGTTTTGTTCAAAATCGCTAATCTCCAAAAGTTCTTCACTGATTGCTTTGAAATTTTGACACATTCCATTCAAATACGCAAGTTTTTTATATACCTATTATATAGATGTCACGTCTGTGACAGGTAAAAACGTACTTTTTTTGGAAAAACTGTTTTTCATGCAAGTTTTCATACGAGGGAAATATCTGAAACCTCTTTATCGATTGCTTTGAAATTTTGACACAATGTTGCATTCGAATACACACACGTTTTTATATACAGTACCTACTATATAGATGCCACATCTGTGATGGATAAAAACTTTTTTTTTTAAACAGCGCCATCTGTTCGACGTAAAAGCAACATACGCTATACAAAATATTTTACGATTCCATTTCAATGTTTCTGATTGCATTGTTAAATTAAATTTTCATTGATTTTGATTTATTTTCATTTTGATTTATTTTGTGTGATATTGTGTTGGAATTAAGCCATGTCGTTTACCATACAGTTCATTTCGTGAGTATAGTTTATTTTTTTTTTTTTTTCATTTTTTAACTAATTATTTTTCAGTGATGGGAACATCAGGACATTTGATGTTCCAATTTTTCTGATGGGAACATCAGATCATTTGGGAACACATCCGACAGGGGAGTGGGGAATGGCGGGGAGGACGAGGAGACGGGGGAGGGGGAGAATGGTGAGGATGACGAGGGGACTTGGGAGTGGGAAATTGTTAGGAGGATGAGGGGACGGGAAGGGAGGGAATGGTGGAGAGGACAGGGGGAACGAAGGCGGGTTGCTGTGGCTCGGCAACACCCATGCGTTGATGAGCCACAGCAACGCACGGCCGGGTACAGCTAGTAAATAATAAAAATAAAAATTTAAATTGAATTGAATTCAGTATGGAGCCAAAACAGAAGTGCCACAATGAAAGGATTAAAAGCAACCAAGCATCCTAAGCTGTTGGATAACATGGAAAGTAATATTTCACTGGGACATTAATCAAAAACCTATTGTGACGCGTAATTGTGCATCACTTTTGTTTTTATTTTCAATGTGCATTTTCATGCATATATATTAAGCATTAAATAAAATCTTAAGGATTCCACTTGATAATATTTATTTTTGTTATTTAAAAAATTTTTAGATAAGAAAACAGTACAGTGGTTGAATATTTGTTAAATAAAATGCATATTTAATTAAGCCACTAGTTTGCAGAGCATTTCTGGCAAAATGTACCATTTCTTATAATGATATACTGTACTGTATAGTATATGTGCATTGCTAATTAGGAGATATGCATGTTGTATTTTGTATATTTAATTTATTTTTTCAATATAAATAACTGCAGTACAGTTTTCATGCAGTACAGTATTTATGCGGTACCTGCTTAACCTGCTTGATGGGGATCTGGGAGTTCTACTCCCCAAGCCCGGCCTGAAGCCAGGCTCGACTTGTGAGAGTTTGGTCCACCAGACTGTTGCTTGGAGCGGCCCGCAGGCCCACATACCCACCACAGCCCAACTGATCCGGAACTTTTCTTTGAAAACAGTCCAGTTTTCTCTTGGAGATGTCCATGGTTGTTCCGGCAATATTTCTTATAGTCGCTGGGAGGACGTTGAACAACCGCGGGCCTCTGATGTTTATACAGTTTTCTCTGATTGTGCCTATGGCACTTCTGCTCTTCACTGGTTCAATATTGCATTTTCTTCCATATCGTTCACTCCAGTATGTTGTTATTTTACTGTGTAGATTTGGGCCCTCGCCCTCCAGTATTTTCCATGTGTACAGTATATTATTTGGTATCTCTCTCGTCTCCTTTCTAGAGAGTACATTTGGAGAGCTTTGAGATGATCCCAATAATTTTGGCGTTTTATCTCGTCTATGCGTGCCGTATATGTTGTCTGTATTCCCTCTTATTTCAGCAATCTCTCCTGCTCTGAAGGGGGAAGTGAGTACTGAGCAGTACTTGAGACGGAACAACACAAGTGACTTGAAGAGTACAACCATTGTGGTGGGACCCCTGGATTTGAAAGTTCTTGTAATCCATCTGATCATTTTTCTGGCTGACGTAATATTTGCTTGGTTATGCTCCCTAAACGTTAGATCGTCGGACATTATTATTCCCAAATCCTTGACATGCTGTTTTTCTACTATGGGAAGATTCGATTGTGTTTTGTACCCTGTATTATGTTTCAGATCCTCATTTTTGCCGTACCTGAGTGCCTGAAATTTATTACTGTTAAACATCATGTTATTTTCTGCTGCCCAATCGAAAACTTTGTTGACATCTGCTTGTAATTTTTCAATGTCTTCAGCAGAGGTAATTTTCATGCTGATTTTTGTGTCATCTGCGAAGGATGACACGAAGCTGTGACGTGTATTTTTGTCTATGTCTGGTATGAGAATAAGGAACAGCAGTGGTGCAAGGACTGTACCTTGAGGTACAGAGCTTTTAACATCGCTTGGACTCGATTTTATTTGATTGACTCTTA